CATATAAGTCACTCATTGCCTGACTAATATCCTAGGCTTCTACATTTTCCTGGTATCCTACCCTACGGGCTCACTGGGTACACTGGAGATCGCACATTGAAACACAGTTATCACCAATACTATGAAACACGATATTATCAATTGGCATGGCTAATATGCGTAAACAAACTTACTTGACATAGAAGACTGTAGGCCCTTCCGGCGCTTGTTAAACCCATATTGAGTAGCGCCTCCGGCTGACAACTGAATATTCTGTTAGAACATGATCTCAAGTCCCCCGAAATTCCCTAATTTATGGTTTTATTTTGCTGATTCAGCCTTGACGAAAGAGGGTGGGTGACTCTCCCCTCAGTGTCCTCAATCCTCATAATGACCTCCTCATTGGCTCTCATGGGTGGTTGTGGGCGGACCCCTTGCGTCTGATTGCTGTGTCTGCCGCAATATTACGATATTCCAGTGGCCCAGTGAGACAAGCGCTGGCTGGAGCTCTTACGTATGAATGCTGATCCCACTCATTCTTAGCCTACTTGCCAGTCCTGGTGTTACAGTTTACTGTAATAGCTGCGAAACTCTTTTCGCAAGTCCCTGGCTTTTTTAGGTAATACCATCCTCTTTCTAATCTCAAATTTGGGGCATAACAGCTTTCTTTCTGGAAATTTATTTTCACGTGTTTATATCTGCGTGACTAATAATAACGGGTTTAAATTGTATGATTATGTTTATTGATCACTCTATTACAATCTCTCGTACTCACAATAACTCAGAATAAATGAGCGCCTATGCTTTGCTCCATTCTTATGTATCTCTCTCTCTCTATTCTGTTGTGAACTACGATTGACTTCTCTTCTAGTCTTGTACTCTGCCGTTACTTCTAGTCTGTCTTGTACTCTGTCTTATCTTCTAGTCTGTCTTGTACTCTGTCTTCTCTTCTAGTTTGTCTTGTACTCTGTCTTCTCCTATAGTCTGTCTTGTACTCTGTCTTTTCTTCTAGTCTGTCTTGTACTCTGTCTTCTCTTCTAGTCTGTCTTATACTTTGCCTTTTCTTCTAGTCTGTCTTGTACTCTGTCCTCTTCTAGTCTGTCTTGTACTATGTCTTCTCCTCTAGTCTGTTTTGTACTCTGCCTTTTCTTCTAGTCTGTCTTGTACTCTGTCTTCTCTTCTAGTCTGTCTTGTACTCTGTCTTCTCTTCTAGTCTGTCTTCTACTGGCTTATAGTTTCTATAGTTTCTACTGACTTGGTTGCCATCTGAACGGCCCTTATATAACCTATGGGTATCCTAGGAACAGTTTGTTGATCACTCGTTTACATGGAAATGTGTTTCATACCGAGTTGGTTTCCAAGAGTTCGTTTCCATTGAAACGTGTTTTTTCAAAATGTTTCCTAGCAATGAGTCTTCATGTCATAATATAAAATATGAAACTCATAATAGGGACAAGTGGGTGGTTACGAATTTAAAGATTTATTTTCCTTGTAATATGAAGGTAATCCGGGAAGTCTAAGTTGGTTATTTAACGACGCTTTCAGTATTGAGACTACATAGCGCCGATGATAGATTGATTAATGAATACAGAGTAGTTAGTAGAATAGAATTTGGAAGGGAAACTGAAGTATTCGGAGAAACCTACCTCAGTGTCACTAAGTCCACCACAAATCCCACATGGCCTGGCCTTGGATTAAACCCCTGCCACCGCAGTGAGAACTCGGCGATAAACAGCGAAAATTGAAGCCGTGTAAAGATTTAAATAATTTACATCTCATTTGTTCATACCGGTACCACTGTATTTGTTTATTTACTGTTTAAGAACTTTCTCTGTGTTTCAGGCCACATAACGACTAAGAGCGGGATGGTTAGTGTATGATGAATTGCAAAGGATCCGGAAGGAAGCGGTAGTTACCAAACTTGAGGTAAAATCCCCACATTTCTGTGGAGAGAAATAGGATACCAAAAACCTCAGGATAATCAGTATCCTAACCGAGATTCGAACGTGACATCTCAAATATTACCGCTTGAATCAAGATCTTCGGTGGTACCATTGTAGGTGTAGTTATGTTTCACAGTGAGAAAGAGATGCGATTTTGAATAAATTTGCTTTATTTTGTTTGTCATATATTTAGAACATGTGCTGCTAATACATTCGCCCTTAAAGAAAACCATAAAGTTGACAATAATTATATTAACATTTCAATCAATAACGGCGATATATAATAATTATGACAATAAGATAACATTAATATACATTGTCATTACGAACTCGTGTAGTCCTATATATTAAACCTGAACCCAAGCAACACATCAAACAATTTAATATTAAGATAAACATATCCAGTTTCGTGACGTATCAGTTTTCGTGGTGGTATAAAGAAATTCGCTATAAAATATAATGTTTCAGAGTCAGTTTTAAAGATCCACAGATAAGTCTATTCTGCAGAGCTGTTCAAATTGACTGTGAAACGTACAATTAATTTCGCGGCGAATAAAGATATTGTATCACAAATGTAAGTTATGTCACGATTCTGTGTTCGTTTACAAAATACGTTAAGAAGGTTCGGCTAAGAAATCAGGAAGTGCTGACTCTTCGTGTCACGTTACCCAGAAGCTTCACATTTTTTAGTGTCATTGTTGCACGTAGAATTTCGACATTTCACGTAAAATCCATTCAATCGTGGATCAGAGCACGAACCGCCGACATCTGAAACAAAAATGTAATTTATTCGGAACGTAATTTCAAATGTTCACTTAAAGAGAAGATTATGACAGTGTTTCTCAGCAGGAGGAGAGCGTTTTCCATTGGTGGGACATGGGGTTCTCAAGAACAATGATTAATCCAGTCACACACAATTCAGTTGTATAAAAATTTTCCTCCATATCGTGAAGTTTTTTCCTGCGGAATATTTTCTTATAATACAGCTAGAAAAAATTCTGATTGAAATTACTCAATGTTGCTTTGTACAGAGCTGCATAAATTTTACATAGCTGTGGTAATAAAACACGTTATGTAAGAGCTAACTCCCTAGAGCTGAACTTTTCTTAAGAAGCCTCACAGTCCCTGAGCCACTCAAGAACTTCTTGAAGGTTTAGTACCGTGTTCAGAACAGCTCTCCCCTGGTTCCTTTCCTGAGCCTGATGAACTCAATCCATACCAGACCATCGTGCCACCCTAAAATTAATTTACTATTATCCTCCCGTCTACATATAAGTCTTCCTATTGGTGTCTTTCTTTATGGCCTTCCCATCAAAATTCTACATGGATTCCTCTTCTCCCCCCATACATGCTACATGTCCTGCCCATTTCATCCTGCTTCACTTTATCATTCTAATTATGCTTTGCAAAGGGTAGGACTATTACAGTATATTAGCTTGTAAAAACATAATAATTTTGTGATGACTACACTAACCTACATTCATTAGTGACTGCCTCCTTCTTTCTGCAGTTTCTTCTGAATATTGCTAAATCATAATTTGTACTTCTGTGCTTCCACAGTTCTACCAGTATGGTCTTCCGGTCTAGGAAACCGAGATTAATGGCCGTGGGGATCCGTTGCGCTGACCACGCAACACCCTCTATCCTCTAAAGTTGGCACTAACTTCGCCGACAAGTGGCGGTCGCTCGGTCGGTATAGTTAGCTTACGGACTACAGGCCACGGAGAACATAATATTTAGCAATGCCTAATTACCTGCAGAAACAAATTAACGATGCGTATTTATGTACAGGCCGATCACAGTGGCCGCGCCGTGTATGGCATGAACCGTCTTGGCCCGCTCGAACACTGGTATCGTGGGTTCGAATCCCATTCGAGATATAGATGTCTATGTGCGTTTATTCTGTGTTTGTGTTGTGTGTGTATGTAGCGGCCTTGCGATGGGCTGATGCCCCATCCAAGGAGTCATACCGATTTTGTATGGATTAAGAAACTGAAAAAGCGAACGAAGCCCACAAGGAATGTAGGGCCATGGATACATTTACATACAGCGAAGTGTGAGACATTGAGAGGGAGCAACTATGGTCTGTTTAAATCTGTATTTCTGCTTTCATCAAGGAAATGAATGGAACAATTCACCAGGCGAGATACGAACATAAGTTCCTGGAGAATTGAATACAAATTCGAACTTAAGTGTGTCACAAAATGAGTGAACGTACGTATAGAATTCCTACAGGTTTGGATGCCAAATCCACATGTAATGTTTAGGCTTGCGCAAAAAAATATTGTGCATACCACATAAATCTTCGTCAAATTTGGACTGGGGTTTGTGCAAAACATGTGACATGTAATTACTTTTGTCATTTTAATGAAACATTGTGGTTTGCAGGATGCATGGCCAGCGGAACAGCAATGAAAAGAAAGGCCGACAAGTTTTATTACGAAGTCGGATTGTGTGCGTGACTTTAGACTTTGTTAGAACCCAGCACATTTCAGTTGACATTGCCTTTCCCTATTCTTCAAAGATTAATTTCAATTATTCCATCACCCTTATTCAGTTACTTGTTACACGAATATTGCAGCATCTTGTTGCACTTCGAAGATCTTACCTTGCGTTCCTTCTTTGCAGTGCAACGTCGGTTAATATTCACTCGTCATTTTCACATTATTGTCTCTACATGTCTCGGCCTGATACCTCCACTGCGCAACAGATGTTGACGGCAGAATTTATACACATGGACACATAAAGCATTCGGCATGGCGGCTGGCTCCGGGCTGGAAGGCAGGCTTCGAGTCCAGGTAGGAACAAGATTTTTCTCGTCTCCGTTACATCCAGACGGGTTCTGAGGCCCACCAACCCTCCTATCAAACGGGTACCTCCGGCTTTTCTCCAGGGGTAAAGCGGCCTGGGCGTGAAGCTGACCACTCACCTCCAACTACTGCCGAAGTCAAGAATATGTGGATCTATGCAGCCACTCCCCATACGTCTTCATGTTTTAGTGCTTAATTTATTAAGCACAGGTACAATTTCACCTTTTTACAGCTTTAGATTTGTTGTCAAGTTCATGAGCAGCTGCACAACTGGCGGCTTCTCAAGAAGGGCTCAGCTCCAAGAAGTTAGTCAGCTGCTTTCATTGGAAAGAGTTTATGGAGATAAAATGTAAAATCGTCCCTGTTCTTAACTAAGAACACAACCATAAAGGCGTATAGAGGAGTGGAAGTTAATTCCGCTCATTCTTATCCTCGGGACTGGGATGGGGTCAGTGTTCAGGTTCACGCTCTGGTCGCTCTACCCACTCGGCAAGAACCCCCTCTATGCATTGTAGTACAAGAGGCTAGTGGGGTCCTACAGCCGGTACGGACGCGTTGATGAAGGCTGTCACCGCCTGGAATCGTACCCCCACCCTTCTGCCCTCCTGCCTAGACAGCACGATGACTGAGCCCTCCCGGCTCCAACATGTGAACAAGACGCCTTACCGACATATCTAACGCAACCGGGACAGCAGCCACAGAAGCCTCCTTTTGGCTCGTACACGGTGCCTGGGTGAGTCTTGCAGAAGTCTCGCGAAGTGACGTGGCATTTCGGGGCCACGCACCTGGCTGCGCACCATGGACTCTGCGTGGCTGCTCTTGCGTGGTGAGACAGTCCCGCCAGAATGGCTAGCATGAGAACCAACATGAATGTCTGCAAAGAAAACAGAGCATCGAAATTCAGCGCCGGACGTCATCGTTATGAAAGTAGCTGCCCTGTGTCTCTTCATAGAGATGCCGGATCTGAATTCCGACTCGGTGACCTGATACTTTTACTGAGTCTTTTCATGGTCTTCCTCAGTCATTCTAAACAACTGTCGGGATACTACCCCAAAATAAGACCCCCCCTCACTTCCTTCCCTTTCGATATTCACTAATCATCATTTGACACCACGTGATCTGAGCTACTGAAAGCGTCTGGGATCCGGGTATATTCATGTGTATTAGAATGTTCAGAGGCCAGGGCCGAAGGGGGCTGTAGAGCCAGTGAAAAAAGTTAGAATGTCTGTATTACTTATCAGAACTATAACATGCTGGAAGTGTTTTATTGATTCAAATTGACTTTTCATGTGGAGGCAGGTTCGAATACCTCCACCTTAGCCCTGCGAGTCGTAGGAAGTGACGAAAACGGAACCCAGTGGCAACCCTGTTCCTGGGGGATATAAATACAGGGACCTGGTCCTCCAGGTAAGGGGTGAGACGCAAGGCTGAAGACATAGCTCTGTAAAAATTATTGTTGCGAAAACCAAAGAAATGAAAACCGGATCAAATCTGCTGGAATTTTCTAACGTCTTGGCGACTGAACGGTTTGACGCAAGCTCTCAGATGGTCGCGCTGTATAAATGCTAGGCTTTGTTATTCTGTCATTAATCTGTCGTTATATGTAGTTAGCAACTGAATAGAAGATGACAGCGGACACCGTCCAAATTCGACGAATTAAATTCCTCTAGATAACAGTGAAAAATAAGTGTATATGGTTATTCTGCCAAGTTAAGTATCTTACAATAAAGTAACAATATTTTCAGAAATTTTTCGTTATTGGGTGTTAGGTATTTTTTTACTAAATTTGTGCTTAATAATTTTTCGTTAAGGAGATTCTAAAATATTCTGAGGATGGTGTACAAAACTCAGAATTACTGGTCTTTTGGACTTTTTCCATCACCCAGTATTCTCCGAACAAAACAAGCAGATTCCATGGCCTCTAGTCCGCAAGCGAACTATACCGACCGAGCGACCGCCACTTGTCGGCGAAGTTAGCGCCCACTTTTTCGGATAGAGGGTGTCACGTGGTCAGCGCAACGGATATCCACGGCCGTTAATCTCGGTTTTCTAGACCGGCACCTTGTATTCTTAAAAATAAAGAACAGCGATTGAGATTAGTTCTTTCTAATGGGCCCAACTGAGTCACCTGAGGACGGAAACAGTTCCAGTTTCCGAAACGTCTTATTTCCTATTTTCTAAAATACCGGACGATTGACAAAAGTTCAACCCCCAGTAATTCTGGGAGTTTCTCGTTAAATTTCGACACTTTATACTAATAGTAAATACAAGTATATCTTTCCTACGTTGACTCCTAATGTCCTTTCGGATGTACCCGTATAATCAGAAGGAGGCCTACAAGAGTATCATATCAATGAGCCTTACCTTGATTCCTTCCATTCTTAACCTCCTTTTAGTAATTAGTTCTTATTTCAGAGCGCTTTGTTCTATTGCAATGGTGGATACACATCTATCAGTAGTTATATATATACATACACTGCACTGTTCGACACGGTTTATGACCTTCAGAAGAAAAGCGATTGGGTACGATTTCAGGATTTTCCTCTGCATATGTCTTTCAACTGATATTATGGCACTAAATTTAAATACCAATACATAAACAGGATTTGTTATGTTCCACGTGATTCACCGAAAAACCCCATGTTTAAGGAAATTCTGATAGGTGTTACTGAGCGTTAACACTAACAGGTGAATCATTAATGTGAGTAATACTTTTTGTGGCATTCTGGCCGTCAGCACAAAAACAGTAATACAGGAGTTACTTTAAAGGTAAAGGTAACTTTGTCCCTATGCTAAAGTAATTAAACACTGCGATATGAAGGCGTATGGGGAGTGGATGTATAGGTCCACATTTTCTTGACCTCGGCATTACCTGCAGGTGAGTTTCAGATTAACGCCCCGGCTCTTTTGCCCCCGGATAAAGAGCCCCCGGTACCCATTGGATGGAAGGCTGGGCGGGCCCCAGAGCCGGTCTGGACGACTTAGGGAGCAGAAAATTCTTGATTCTAACAAGACTCGAAGTCCGACACCTCGGTCATCCAGCCTGTAGCCAGTACAGACGTTACTTTACTTCCAGAAAACCAAAACAGCGAACCCCGGATGGTAAACGCCAGTTACAGTACGCGATAGATAACACAGAATTTTACATTGAAAAGAAGATAGAATTTTTATATTTTTTAAATATTTATAATTATTTTTTTTATTATTTTAATAATAATCACATTAAATATGATAATAATGTTTAACTCTAATATGGATCCCTATTGGGATATCGGAATAACGTGAGGCGTAATTAATTAAATTTCCTGAAGATGGTCCTAAATATGAATCGAAACATATAGCAGTTATTATATAAAACCAATGTAAACAATTAATATATATATATATATATTGATTTGTTGACGGTGAGAATACCACAAACCATGACACAACAGGATGCAAACCTTAAAGATGGCTAACATTTGTTTCGTGATATGATCAACGCGGAATTGGAGATAAACAGGCCCGAGTTCTTAAACAGCTGTTTCTGGTCAGGTTTGACTTGCAGAATAACCATGTAGAAATATTTTATTACTTTATCCTTCCTCTCTCCTTCCCTTAAACCTCGTACTTAATTAAATAAAAATATGTATAAAAGTAAAGCTGTCCTTGTAAGAGGCCGTGAAGGCCCATAGGGTCGTGAGATGTCAAGGCTACCACATTTTCTAGACAGTCGGCTCAAAGATGGAGGTGAGGTTGTCAGCCCTACGCGCCGGCCGTCCTTTACCCCCCAGGAAGATTCATGGTACTCATTTCTGTTAGAGGCTGAGTAGACCCCAGTGCCATAGTGCGGCTGGAAGGGTTAGGTCAATTGAAAAATCCAATTACCTCATCGGGACTTGAACCCACGACCTTCCGGCTTGTAGCATAGCGTCTCAACCAACTACCCTACCGCTAAGTGAATCAATTGATTAAAATACACAATTAATGTGATTAAGTGCCTCAAACGTCATTGTCAGTACATGATTCTAAAGCTTGACGACTAACTTCATGGAGCCGAGTTGTCTGGAAAACTCCTGGCCGCGACTTGTCACAACTTCCGCACATGCATTGCAATGTCTGCAACAGTCCGTCAGAGAATACGTGTAGTCCACATCCGCACAGTTTGCGTCATTAAAGTCCGTTTGCATATTGCCTTTCTATCTACTCCCCTCTTTCCAAAGTGGTTCCCCTCTCGTCAGGTCTCCTGACTGAAAGCTGTTATGTATCTTCCATTCCCTTGCATGTCCTATCCGTTTCATCCTCCTTGAATTGATCACCCTAATTAAATTTAATAAGAATTGCAAATAATTATGAAATACCCTTCGTGAAATGGGTTTAGCCGTGCCATAGCTCAGGCGGTTGGTCGCCGACTTCCCAACGGGGCGGCCAGGGTTCGAGCCAAGGTCGTCATGTGGGATTTATGGCGGACAAAATGGCGCTGGGGCAGGCTTTCTCCGAGTACTTCGGTTTCCCTTGCCAATTCTCATTCCACCGACTACTCCACATTCATCATCATCTACCACCCGGGACTGGTACAGAGGCCAATTAGTGGGGCCGACGTGCCGATCGCAGTGGCCGCGCGGTCTGGGGCTTGAACCGTCTTCTCTCGCTCGAACACTGGGAACGTGGGTTCGAATCCCACTCTAGGCATGGATGTGTGTGTGTTTATTCTGTGTTTGTGTTGTTCTGTGAATAGGTAGCGGCCTTACAACGAGCTGATCCCCCGTCAAAGGGGTCCTACTGACTGTGTCTAGGTTTAAGGAACTGAAAAAGTGGCCAAGGTCCAACAAAGGATTGTAGAACCATAGATAGATATAGATAGATAGATTGATAGATTGATAGATTTTTCTCTAATAGTAATTTATTTGGCAATAACAATAATAACAATATCAAATAACAATTAACAATTAACAATGGCTTATATTACTTATAATATGAAATATAGATGGAGGCTTATGTTTGTTTTTGCAGGTTGATGTTTAGAGGTTGTTCAGTATGATCTGTCCGTTTGTGATTCTGCCCAGGATGTTTTTGTGTAACCGGTAGTTCTTGAAGGTTTTCACGTCGTTTCTCCAGATACTGTGGTGCATTTCCAGTTGCAGACGGAAATGCAGTCTCATTAGGAACATGCGGTGGTAGTTGGCTTCTTGGTGTTTGGTGCTGTTTGCTGTCGCTGCTATGAATGTCTTGTAGATTGTGGATTTGGCGAGGACTATCAGGTAGTTTGCAAGTTGATGTGGGGTTGTATGGAGTGAGGGGTAGCCATAAAGGATGTGTTTCTTCTGTAGTGTGTGGGGACCTAGCACTATATGAAGTGTGTTTATGAGTTTGTTATAGAAGTCTACAGCATGGGGGCAGTCTAGAAACATGTGTTCAGTTGTCCCTGAGGTGCCAGAGCACCAGGGACAGTTCGGTGTATCTTTTTTCTTCCAGCGGTGTAGTTGCTGGGGCGTGGTGATTCGGTTATGTAGTATTCTCCAGGCTATATCGCCGTCTTTGCTGAGAATGGGGGGGGGGTGATATACTGCTTCCCATTTGAGTTTCCCTAAATTCCAGCAGCATTCGCCGTTTACCAAAATGTGTCTATTTAGGTTCAGCTTGAGGAGGTGTTTGTAAACTATGCGTTTGGGTATGGGGAGCGGAATTAATTGGTTGCTGGATTTTCGGACGACGAAGGTATGGTGGGGTTGGTGGGGCGTGGCTTTGGCCGGCAGGTTGGGATAATGCTGTCGGAAAAATGTTTCTGCTGTTTTCAGATTGGCTTTCAGTCTGCGGATGGTTGGTTGGGTGCAGTGTTCCGTGTTGATGTCCTCTATTTGTATCCATTCACCGTTGTCCTTGAGTAGCTCACCTACGTACTTGATGCTTAGTCGGTTCCAGGTCATTTCAAATTTCAAGGTGTGGCCGGAGTTGTGCGGGGTTAGGAGTGTGGAATCTTGTATGGGGGTGCTCCTTAGGTTGTCATAGGATTGTAGGTTGGGGTTTTGGATGGGGTTCATGGTGTGCCAGGCCTTCAAGGCGCTAGCGTAGAAGGATGGCATTGCTGAATATTTGGCTGGTTCTAGCCTTAGCTTGAGGATATCCTCTCCTTCTATTGCTGGGGCATATGCTCGGATGTTATGAGCCTGGAAGTGCCATGCGTTCCCTCTGTTATTTTTCGTGATGAATTTTGTTAGGAATGTGATTCTTAGGTTTTGTGTGCGGCTGGGGAGGTGATGGATTCCTATTCCGCCGTCTTCTAGTTTACCATAGACGAAGTTTGGGTGCTTTAGATGCTGTCCTTGCCATATGAACTGTACTATTAATTTGTCTATTGTATTGAGGAATTCGCTGGTGGGTTGTAGTATTGTGAGTACATGAGTGAGTCTGGCGCTTCCGGTCTTGGAAGGACGTAGTAGAGGAGATTTTCGTCCATTGCTGAAGTACCGTTCTGGTTTTGGTTTCCAGTTCAGACCAGTTTTGCTGTTGCCATGCTGCTGTGTTTCCAAGGTAGATTCCAAGGAACTTCCCTCCTTGTGTACTCCATTGGAATCCCAAGGGTTGTCTGTGCGTGTTCTCCAGTTCCCTGCGAATAATCCTGTTGACTTCTGTACGTTGAGTGTGGCACCTGATAGGGCTCCATAGGTCATGAAAGTGTTTAGTAGTCGTGGAAAACCTTCGTTTTGGGTGATGAAGACAGTGACGTCATCCGCATATGCAGTGGTGACGAGTGTTCTGTGGTCGGTGGCGGGTACTGTGAGTCCACAATTCCGAAGGCTGTTGTTACACATTAGTAGGAAGGGTTCAATGGTTAGGGTGAATAGTGGTCCGGAGAGGGGGTCTCCTTGTCGAATTCCTCTGGCATATGGGAAGGGGGCTGTGAGCACATCGCTGATCTTCACTAGCCCTTGGGCATTGTGGTATATTGTGCGTATGTTTTTAATGAAGGTTTTGCCGAATCCGAACTTTTCTAGCACGTGGAATATGTATGGGTGTTCGGCGCAGTCATACGCAGAGGCTTGATCTAGCGATATGACTGCGAGTGGGAGATCGTGTTGGTTGACGTAGTCTATGGAGTCCCGGATAAGGTGTAGGTTGGTGTGAATGCTTCTGTTGGGTATACAGTAGCTCTGATCAGAGGTGATGAGATGGGGGAGCACTGCTGTCAGTCGTTTGGCGAGTGCGCGTGTTATTAGCTTGTAATCAGTGTTCAGTAAGGTGATGGGTCTCCAATTGTCCAGTTGTGCGAGGTCTCCTTTCTTGGGAATGAGGGTGACGATTCCGTTAAGCATGGATGCGGGCAGTTGTTCCTTTTGAAAGCTTGTGTTGGCCACTTGTAGGAGGAAGGGGCTTAGCTCTTTCCAGAATTGCTTATAAAATTTATAGGTGAGTCCATCTAGCCCGGGTAATTTTCCTGGTTTGGAGTTTTGGAGAGCACTTAGGAGTTCATTCAAGGTTAATGGGGCG